AAGAAAAAAATTTACCGATTACTTTTTTTTTAAATTTAAAAAAATTGGTTAAAAAATTTTTTTTTTTCTATATTTTAAAAAAAAAAAAAAAAAATTTTTTTTTTTTTTTTTTTTTTTTTTTTTTTTTTTTTTTTTTTTTTTTTTTTTTAAAAACATATCAATTATTTAGTTAATAAATATTTATAAGAGACTTATGAGATTATATTGTTCTTAATAATTATACAAATAATTCTTTTAAAAAACATTTCATTTTTATGATTGTAAGATGAATTATTGTAGATAAGCAAATCAACAGAAATGAATTATATTCGTTGAATTAAATTCAAGAACATTGTAATACGTATGCAGTATGTTGTTAATAACATTATTGCTTGATTTATTGTTCTAAAGAAAAAATCGTAAAGAATTATATTGCCCTGATACTATTATGGATTTTCTTTCGAGTAAAATTATAAAATTTTAATTCTTCTTTTGAAAAAATACAAATTTTAAAAATTTTAACTCGTTTTTTTTTTTTTTTTTTATTGATTGTTAACCTATATTTTATATGTTTATATATAAAACTTGACTATGAAATATAATTTTCTATTGAAATTACGGTAAATTAATAAATGATATTGGTTTCGATTCTATTCTATTCTAAACCGGATGACCGTTCTCTTTCCTATAATAAATGAAAACAAAAAAATAATATCATTTTTTTTGTGTTATTGTTATTTTTTTTTTCGATATAGGTTTAAACCATTAATGGGTTAAACGGATATATCATATAAGAACTTTGCTACCGATATCTTCTTTTGTTTCCTATTCTGTAAAGAAAGACTTATTTCTAATAAATAAATGCTATTAGATAAAAATACGATAAACTAGAAAAAACCGGAAATATTATCGTGTAACAATAGCAGAATAGTCGGAACCAATTCGTGAAATTTTCAAACTCAATTTTGTACGTATGTAAATATTAAACGTAATTGGAATTTGGATCATATCATAATACGTATATATCATATACTGTACGTGTATACCGTATATAATATATATGTACGCTATAAGAATATAGATTTTTAATGTTCTTCACCAAACAATAATAATCCTTTCAACCCAAATGCCAACTACTGTATTTTTGAGGTCCTAAAAAAACGAGTCTGAAATTTACTATTTATAAATTAGAGAAACTAGAAACTTTTTTACGGCTTACAGTTTCTTTAATTTATCTCTAGTAAAAAGGTCTAAAATTTCACGTATGCTAAAATATGCGGAATATTGTATACGTAACTTTGCAAATATTTAACTATGTATAAACAAATATGTTTCATGATCTTAATTTTCCAATACCATTCGGTATCTCGCCTTCCCATCGAGCACAATTTGAACACCTTCGTTGATATTTTTCATGGGAACTCTTTGGACCCAGGGTCTGACATCATGCTTGGCCGCAAATTCTAACATATCCTTAATATCTTGACGCCCTCCGATCAATGAGCCCTCAATTTTTATGAAACGCATGAGGGCAAATGGAGAAAATTGAATTGGGACTTCCGGAAGACCAAGCAAGATAAGAGTGCCTCGGTTCTTGACGAAGCCTAAATATTGCGACCAATTGATGTCGGGATTGAACGAGGTCATGAAGACAATATCTTGAGATTGAGCGAATTTTTCGACCTCCTTCGGATCCGAGGTATCCAAAAAGTGAGTGGCACCTAGTTTAATGGCATCATTGCGTTTCTCGATACTAAAAATGAATGGTTTTTAGATTGAGTCATCTCGCCATTCATAGTTTCAAATGTGTGCGTACCTGTGCGAAATAGCTGTTACTTCGGCACCCATCTTCGCCGCCCACTGAATTGCCATATGACCCAAACCGCCGATGCCGGAGACACCAACTTTATATCCCGGTCCAACATTGTGACGTTTCAAAGGAACGAAGGTAGATACACCAGCGCAAAACAATGGCCCAGCTTCGACCGACTTGATTGCTTCCGGGATGTGGAATGCGAAATTGGAATGTGTACGAATTTTGTCAGCGTAACCTCCCTGAGTTTGGTATCCGATGGGATTACCCCCGGCGTCTTTCCACATATCGTTATAAGTGAATACTTTCTTTGAGCACAATTGATCGTAACCGGTTGTACACTAGCATGAAAGAGATTCTGCTTAACGCGTGAAAAAAAAAAAAAAAAAAGTATAAAATAAAAAAAAAAGACTTGTATGTTTTGATGTTATCATACCTCGTCACATTTTCCACACGACTGGAGCTGACAACCGACGCCGACGCGATCACCAATATTGAAGTTAACGACTTTGGAGCCTTTCTTCGATACTTTTCCAACAATTTCATGACCCATAATAGCTATACATAATTAAATTCGATAATTGTTTTATTAATTCGGTAGAAAAGATAGGAAAAAAAAAAAAAGATAAAAAAAAAAAAAAAAAAAAATTATTTACACACCGGGGTACCGAGTTGGGCGCCAACCAGAGTGCATAGTATGCAAATCGCTACCTATTTGAGGTACAATATTATATAGAATTTCATCTCCAAGTAAAAAATAATAATGCTTCGCTTTATTCACACTCACCGCAGATACCACAATGAGAAATTTCCACCTCAAGGTCCTCATCGCCCAATGGTTTGGGAATGTAGGAGTATGGTCTTAGGTCGCTTCCTTTGTCGAAGACAGCGTATCCGTGATATTCTTCGACCATTTTGATTCTAATGAACATCAAATCGTAAATTCGATTCGCTTTTATATCTCAATGCGTTTGATCTACAAAATTGTTATCTGATGTGTATTGTGTGCATTCGACGGGTCGTACAGCATTGAGAAAGAGAGACTGGCAGTTTAGGTGATGAAGTCGTACAACATAACCAGTATCACAGCATACATATATGGGTTGTATGTCATGTTTTTTTTTAGTGTTTGATATCGATGTCTCCAAAAATGTGTCAACTTTCACTGACAATTAACCAAAACGAAATATGGGATGCAATTTGGTAAAAGAGGGAGATATGAATGCGAAAATTTCTGAGGTGGTTCGATGGGATTTAATAAATTCTGCGACCGATGAAGCTCAACTCGCTACACCAGGAAAAGATGTCAATGAACAATACGAAGGTGTAATAAAGTTACTAAGGGCAAATCCTCTATTAAACAATTCCGAGAAAATCCAGGCAGAAAAAAATTTCACCTTTATAAAGGATCGGGAAAATCTCATCCGCCTCAAAAAACCCACCTACCCATGCGAACAGTGCCATAGGCTCGGTTACACCATCTTATTCTGCGAACACTGTGCGAGAGAACGCCTCGAAAGGGATTTTGTAAATTGGACGTCAGGAAACGAAATCATTGACCGAGCGATTCAACAATCTCAGAGCATGCTCCCGTTACCAAGATATCTCATCGAATGGATACCATACACCGATCTTGAAGATGTCAAGTACAAAACCAAAGGAGGATGTGCGGAAATCTTGACCGCAACGTGGAAGAAGGGTGTCATCCTGTCATTTGACAATGAAAAGCAGGAGTTCGAAAGAAGCCCCGCAGGTGTGGTGGTCCTTAAAAAATTGTTGAATAGTCAGGATGCGAACGAAAAATTTCTTGAGGAGGTACTATAATGATCGCAAGTGCTGATAAAAGAGCGCCTTTAATGTGTTGGGATTAACTTCATAATTATCATCCATTATTCCTTACACATCAGTTAAAAGTTCATATTTTACTTGGATCAAAAGGTTACACCGTTGCAACTTGTTACGGTGTGACAAGAGATCCTTCCACCGGGGAATACGTCTTGGTGCTTGCCAATTATGAGCAAGACTTTGGTTCATACATCAAAAAGTCCTATGACTCAGTCACATGGAAGGATATTTACAATATCTTTTATAACATTTCCGGTGAGTGAATTATTTAGGAAGATGAATCATGAACTTTTCTTATTAAACAATCCAAGGTGCAATGTAACACCGATTCGTTGATATCACGAAAAACTAGAGGATCTTTACAATATGCATAGAGAGAATCTCATCCACCGTGATCTCCACAGCAAGAATGTTTTAAAGTCCGCCGGGAATCTATTTAATCTTTCGGATTTTGGTATCTGTGGACCGGCGAATATGGGTTCCTCAAATGTCTATGGAAATCTTCCCTTCATTGCGCCCGAAATCTTTCTCAAACAACCGTATACCACGGCGAGCGACATCTACAGCATGGGAATGCTCATGTATCATGCGACCGTCGGTCATCCGCCTTTTGCCAATTGTCACCACGACCTGCTCCTTGTTTCCGAAGTTATCGCGGGAATTAGGCCACCAGTTCCGGACGGATTGCCCCCATCTTTCGAAGCCCTGATGAGAAAATGCTGGGATTCCGATCCTTCCGAGAGACCATCGGCCGAAGACCTCTATTATTATTTTTTGGATGAATACGAAGAGGCTCTTCAAAACCCCAAATCAGGGTCCCTACTCGTCAAGGATTGTATAAGCAGTCAAATCCCGATGGGTGATATCCATGAAGGTCAAAGCGCCACGCTTGTGTATAAGAAAGGCAGTAGTAAACTTGACGAGATTCAGACCGAGCATATTTACGAGTTTCAGGGAGACACCCTTGTCTGCGAGAACATTGCAAACAGCAGAATGTGGAAGATTGAGGATATTCCCAAGAGTCCAACTGTTGAACATTTTCATGAAACACCAAAGGGTATGTTGTATTGTGTGTTGATTTTGAATTTATCGATAACATATTTGCCATCTTAACGTCTTTATATGATTCGAAATTTCGGGCAGATGAAAGTAAAGGTATTTGTTTAATAGTTCGTTTGTTGAAGAACTATAATATCGAAATAATAATAATAATAATAATAATAATATATCGTCCTACGCATTCATTCATTTGCATAGTCTCCAGTGTCGTATGGCAAAAACCAGACAGAAACAAGCCCCGCAAAAAACCTACATTGATCAAAAAAGGCCATCTCGTCCTTTTGAAACCGGCCGTCAAGTCTGATTGAACGGGCCAATCTGATATCAAGAAAGAGTCACGCAAAATGGCTGTTTGCAATTCGCCGAGAGTTATCCATTTTCGCATCATTATTGTGATATTCGCTTTTATGTAATTGTAATAATAATAATATAATGAACTTATTTTATTTATTTTTCACAATGAAACGGGACTAATTCATACTACATTCTTCCTAATTATTATTTCACCACGTGTACCCTACATCATTAATTATACGCCGTCAAAATGAAATTGTGTCGGGAAACCGCATTTAACCCAAATTATGCATATTTGGATTTTTCTACTTTTGTTCAATATACAGTATAAGCATATATATGTATAAGTGATATTCCAGATAGCTAAATTACGGAAAATCACGACTGATGCGGTAAGTTTGACAATATAATATACTGCAAAATAGTTCTTTTAAATGAAGTTACGAAACTCGCAATTAAAAAAAAATATATATATAAATTTTAAGTTGTATAAATTATTCAGATATTGCAGTAGATTTATGCGTTTATTTATATATATATAAATATATAAACTGTATATTTGTTTATCTAATATAAACAATAAAAAAAAAATAGTAATAATTAGGTTTTTTAATAATTTATTAAAATTTTCAAAAATAAGAATTCACAATAAATTATTAAAAAAGATATTAAATATTATACACAGTAGATAATTTATTATATTAAAATATTTTATTTACTTAAAATTTTATTTTTTAATCATTCTCTTGAAAAATATTTAGTCAAACAAAACTTTATAAACAAAATACAAAAAATATTGTTATATTAAAAAAAGTTAAATAAACTTTTTAAAAACTATTAATGTTATTTTAACTCAATTAAATTTTTTAAAAAACAAAAAATAATATAAAAAATTAAAATCTTTATTGAAAATAAGTATTAAATATGATTTTTTATTATAAAAAATTAATTTAATGAGGAAGCTCTTTCTCTGTAAGTCTTTAAATGATGTGTCTCATGTATACCCATTCATTCTTTCCCATACTATATTCCAAGTGTATTCTTATTATTTTTCGATCTGATGACTCCATTTCTTTTCAGTTCTATTCTATACTATTCATTGATATATCATGGTCTTGTTATTTATCTTTTTGATAAATTGTCTTATGGGATTATCTAGTGTCTTGTCTTTCCAATTGATTTCTGTAGGGATTTTGTAGGAAGTGAGATCCTTTCATTCTATTGCAGGCAAGTTGAGGACTCCTTTGACTAAAGCATCCGCTTCATCATTATAGGGATTATTGGAATGTGCCTTGACCTTAGTAAGCTTTAAATCTAGGTTTTTCTTTTTAACCAGTTCTACTATTCGTACCCATAATAACCAGTTTTTATCTTTTAGACATCTTTTATATGTTCTTTTTGGGTCATCTTTCTTGACTGATATCCATTTAGAGATGCAAGCTTGACTATTTGTTTTTTTTTTTTTTTTTTTTTTAAATTAACCCTCTGTCAGGTTAGTTAGGTGTGCTTTATTAAACCTTTGTAAACT